AAACCGTACCGAAGAAAAGAATATTTTTCTATTTAAAATTTCATTTTCAAGAAAACTGAGTTTGAATATTTTTCGAATATACTTCAATCTGACTATTTTGTACTGAACATGAATCAACAACTGATATTATGTGTGCCACAAATACAGTAAAATAAGCGAGAAATATGATATAATTTTATTAATTTAATTCTCTCAAAAAACAAAACCTCTTATTAATCGAAACGTTATTCTACTATTTTGTTATATTATCCTTTTAATTTATTATTCTTTCTTAAAGTTATCACCTCTTCTTGAGATGCTCTGTGAGTACTAAGAAAGGTAGAATTTTTGGTAAAGAAAGAGAAGAAAGAGATTCGTTGATTTCTCGAAATATATTCCTTGGAAAGCACAGACATGCTCTCGTTGAAATCTTGAATTTGCATTAGAGGCAATCACAAATTCACAGAGCATTAACTTTACGTTCAGAGGCGATAGAGCATAGGCGTAGAGGATACAAAGAGCGCGAATTGGCTGGAGGATGACGGAGTAATGGAGGGTAGGGGCAGGGGTACGGGAAGTATGCATTATCTGTTGGATCCATGCTATTTGTGCAAAGTGGCCTAACCTCACACCGTCTTCAATCCCCCCTCACCTTCGATTCGACATAACCGCCTACATTTAGGCGGTTTGGAGGGTAATACATTGTTTGCTCTTCGTTCGCTAAACTAAACCGCATTCGGAATTAATTGCACGTTAGGAGGCCACGGGATAATTAAAGCCGCCTCGATTACCCTCACCTACTACCTTCCGTTTCCGATGCGTTTCTACCGGACGTCTTTGCCAGGATTAACTATCGTAATAAAACATCGCTGTTACACCATAATGAGAGAATATCGATCAGACACGTGTGAACCAATAGATAAAACATTACAATGCAACGTCGAAATCATTAATCGTATGGAATTTAATCAATTGTGACAAATGAGAGACTTGTTAAATTATTTTCTAAAGTTTATATGACTTTAAACATGTCAAAAAGTGACAGTAATTCAAATAGAAATGAAGCATCTGCCAAATTTGAGTTTCGAATAATAGCAACGTTGTGTAGAAAACTACGATCGGAGAATAATTCACACGATCAAAGAAAGTCAATGAAATTAAATGTATAAGTGAAAATTAAAACGTGAACGAAACTGTCAAAAATCAACAAATCTTGGACCAACACGAACATAAAAGTTATGTGTGTGATCTTCAAAAAATACGCAAGAAGTTGAGTGCACAAAGAACTTGAGTAAACGCTGACAAACTCCAATCGTCTCTTTCAATAATCTATAGGCTTTTTTCGACGTGGAAGACCGCCCACACGAGGGCAAGGAGCCATTGTTTCTTCGCGTACGGCCAACTTGATTGTGTTAATGAAAAATGGGAAAGAAGTAAAGCCAAACCGATGGTTCTATATCGAGGAGTGCCGGCAACATTGGCTTTATCGAAGAATAGCGGGCTGCAATGGGAATTGAACGTGATCCAAAAGCGCTTATAAATGAATAACATCCATAAAGGATAAGATATCGAGGGATTATATCCATTATCATATATCTACGAGGGAGTTCTTTTTTCTCTGCGCGTCATTGATGTCCATATTTCTCTATAGCCATAAGGAATATCGATCGTTTTAATTTTGTATTGCGTTTACTTTTGTAACGAGCATTCTGTTTTGGATATTTCATAGAATTTTCGATATTTAGTGTATTCTACGTCCAATCTTCTTTTGTTGATGTCAAAAAGATTTGTGAAATAAAATTAACAAGATATTTAATTACCATTGGATTAAATTAGACAGGACTCAGGCATCATTCCCTCCAATTCCATAGTCCATGGTGTTCCATCTTTCATCCATGCATTTGGAAGTTGATAAATCTGTAACAAACTCATTTGTTGGATTATTAGTTTAAAAAACTTAACACAAAAATTCCACGCCACTAAAACAGTCCCGACATTTGGAAAAAGAAAGCGAATGAATAGCCAGAAGGGCCAGGCTACTGAAAAGGATACCGCGATACAATAGCCAGAAGGGCTATTAGAAAACAAGCACTTCCTGCTCAACAAAACAATAACCAGAAGGGCTACTGTACAATTATCTACGTTACGAATCCGAGGAACAAACCGTATCTTGTTTCGCAACACTAATTCACTAGCATTAATTGTGAAATAGGAAATTTTCAAAATCAAACGCGAAGAGTGCTTCGTCAAGTTTAAAACTTCCGAAAATATGTACGAAACGCTATTAAACTATGCACTCATGTTTAAAAATGCGTAACGCTAATTGCGACGCGTCCAATGAAACCAGCTGGAAGTTGTTGATGAACTATCACCTCTGTACAGCTCTTGTAGCTGCATCAGGTGATTCAGGAGCAGAAGCAGACTTCCACGAATCCAATGGAAGAATTTGGGCATTTTATAAATGCAACGCTACTTCAAGAAACGCGATCATTCATTATCGCAACACTGAGAAAAAAAACTAATCGGAACAATAGTGCAATACTAAGAGTAAAAATAACTGGAAATCGCGATAAAATAACATCGCAACACTAACTCTAAAATTAAATTCAATGAAAATTACGATGAACAATACAAAACTGAACCAACAGAAAGCTAGTTCAAATATTCTAACACTCTAAAATTAATTAAAGCAATAACTCTATAATTTAATTTAATAGAAGGCAAGATAAATTTTACTCTAAACTATAAAAATTCATATTAAAAGACAATCGCGGTATCACAATTCACAACTCTAAAGCAAACACGATTATCATTTCTTCGCGACTCTAATTCAACCCGTAATCAATCTCTCGCAACACTAACAAAAAAAAATCGCGATTTGCCCAAAATGAAATTGAACTATGAAAGAAAAATACAACTACAAATATTAAAAGAGCATAGTGACAAAGTAGTAACGAGAATGGCTTCCCATGCTCTGGAATCATTTAAATGATCCAGAGGATGTGATGCCATTTGTTGTGACCCTCTTCGTGGCAGTTTGCCGGGCCTCTTTGGCTTGTAGCCTCTTCTGTTTTCGAGCGCAATGCCCGCTGAAACTTACGTCTAGCTCGAGTCTTTCTAATCGCAAACCAAAAAATAACTTATAAAGGTGAAATAAAAAGATAAATCGCGGAAACTGATTCAATTGCACATGAACGACCATCGATCATAGTGATCGTTGTCCGTTCGCACGTGCATGCTCGAGCAATACCTGCATAACGTTCGTTTCGGGACCTACTCGCGACCTATCCGCGACCGCGACCGCGATACTAAATTCGAAAAATCGAAGAGTAAAACCAGAAACAAGGCATGCTCCACTTGTACCAATTTCACTGTCGATTTTTCAAATTCGATTTCCTGAAACAGGTTGGACATGCGAAAAGGAGACACGCGACCAGAGACTGTGCCAACCTGCCCGGCCCTACCTACTTATAATTAAATACATTCACACCAGAAAGTATGCTACCTATCCTAACAGTCGCCCTATATTTAAAAAATGGCAAAACAGGCACACCAACACA